ACTGTCACTCAGCCTGTATTGGTGGTTCACACGAATGCTGTGTTGTGTCCCACACTTTGTATTTCCAGGCAACAATTAACCTGAAATAGGAATCTTATTAAATATCTGAACAGGTTTTCTATGATACAACACAGAGGATGGCAATGGAGAGAATTTTTATTTGTTTCAAGCTGAAATCTTTTGAAGATTGCCAATGTCTTGCATGATATTATTCAGTGACAAGCAAATGAAACATAAATGCATAGGTAACCTGCCCCCTCACACAACGGAAGCATGGCTACTGCAGTATAAAGTGGCCAAGACCATTTAATTTTTATGAATCTTAGCTTCTTTATGGGATGGTAGAAACTGCTGGAAGATTTAATATCACATAGTTCTTCTGTCTTCCTACCAATATAACTCATAAACCTAAATCCATGAACAAATCAGTATTTAAGACCTTTTGACTCTACTTGGATAAAAATATGTTATTGTAATAGAAACACAACAGAGCTAAGTTCATTATGAAGCAATGTTATGGTACTTAGAATGAAGCCATGATACTTGCCAATATAAAAACTGGCTTACAAGCAGCTCAACTCAACTCATTCATTTGTTACATCTGCCATTCTAAATAACACCTTAACTTCTTGCATATTTACAAAAAGAACCATCAGAATTTCAAAACTAAAAACAATTTAAAATACAAAGGTCTTCTACAGAAGTGCTGCTATGTCTTCCTAATATTTTCAGTAAGCCTAAAGCTTCAAGTATATTCCTCCCAAGATGGAAACAAATCATCTTTGGTGTAAACTGTGTTGGTTGCTCTCCAGACTAATTCTAAATTTTACAAAATAATCTATTAATATTTCTGAACTGTTTAAAAGTAAATATGGGCATAAAACTGATTTAAGAAATTAATTTTAATAAACAGAGGCCAACCATTTATTCTTTGTAATTAAACTTACTCAGTCTATAGAAACAATGAACAATTCTTCATATCAAATATGAAACAAAGCTACGATGCTGCACTTACGAGATAAAGGTAATAGAGCAATGAATATAGCTAACATCCATATCTACAGTATCATATATCCGGATGGCACAAATTCATAGAAATATAAAACAACCCTGTAAAGAAAGCTTTTCTTCAAAATCAGGTTTGGAAGTGATGTT